TTTCTGGGGCTGGCACAGGAGTCACTGGGGTCATGATGTTGTAACTCTCTGGAAATCTGCCTTCTGGAATTTGCTAGAAACCTCCCCTCTGGGGTGCTGGGGAAAGCTCTTTGCTGGGAGGTGTCTCCCTGGGAGCGCTCCACTACAAAACTACCTGAGGGAAGTGCCAGGGGAGGCTGCTGGCCGCCAGGTGCTGCTCACTCCTGTGCCCTGAAGGCTGCACCTCGCTCCAGAGAAGCCACAGGAGCCTGTCACCTGAGAAGCAGTGAAAAGGGCTGGGGGCTGGAGAGGCTGCGCATGCTAAGGAGTTGGGTGCTGGGGAAGCCGCCCACGTTGCAAGGGCCTGCAAATAGAGAATCTGCGTGCACTGCGTGAGCCAGATGCTAGAAAAGCCACGGGCTCTGCAGGAGCCTGTTGAGAAAGCATACTGAAACCAGGAAGGAAGAACCTCTTTCTCCTGCAATCCTTCTCCTGTGCCCTCTACTGACAAGGTTTAGTATGTTAGCTGACAAAGAAAAAAATATTTAAAGGTCCCAGATCCATTTTAGCAGAGCAGGCAAGGAAGATGGATTTAGGGGTGAGAGGCAATAAATAAATTGGTAACTGGCACAGAGTCTCTCTGTTTTTTTTTTCAAAATTCTTTTAGGGGTTCGTGAGCAAAAGTTTGAAAACCACTCAGTAGTCTAGTGTATTAATGGCAGCTCTATCAGACACCCTCTGGAGATAGCTGGTTTCGTACTTTGAACACGAAGTGTAGGAAACAATTGAGGTGCGTGTGTGAGTGTGAATGAGAAAGTGTGTGGAGTGTTTGTTTGTTAGAGAGGAGGGAGTGAGGTGGAAAAGACTACATAGAGGAGGAATGTGAGAAATAACAGTGGGAGGGAAACAGATAAGAAATAAGAAGAAATAAGAAGGAAGTGCTGAGTTTAAAAATGCCCATCATTAGCGCTATGAAAAGGTTGTTTTCCCAACTGCTATTTCGTTATCTTATTGACACTCTGTGTGTGTGTGTGTGTGTGTGTGTGTGCATGCGTGCAGCATTCACATATATGTATAATTCTCATCATTTACTTGACTGATACATATATGTATATATAATACTTCCTTACAAAAAAGACCATTCAAACTTGTACTCTACCCTAAATACACTCCCTCTCAACAATATACTGCTTTTTTACTGCTTACCAAGTACAAGAACCTTATTCACAGGCTGCTTTATAAACCAAATGTGTAATTTATTCCATGGTTCACATTTTCTTTACATTCACAAATTCTACCAAGCTAGTTTATTTCTCATATAATACTACTGACTTTCAGTTAGTAAATTAACTGACAGAAGTAAGAATGTTCTCTCCTCTGGTTATTTGAACTTCTAAACTTTCATAAAATGAATTTGTTGAACAGCAGATAAACCAGAAAAGGCATTAGTGAAACAATTTAATTCAGTAAGTACTTTTGACATCTTGTACTTTGCTCTGGCTGACCCTTTGCCAGGTGTTGTGAAACAAAATAAACTTATGAACTATTTTTTTCCTTAAGGTGCTTATAGTTTTGTTGGAGTGATAAGAAAAACACAATAAACAATTACAAAGTATGGAAAAATAACATTAATGTCTATCTGAATATGACTGTTTGATATGCTTTCATAAGTAATAGGAATGTATATGACTGCATCAAAGTAGGGCCTGTTTTCATGGAGGAGATGAGAACACACTTTACCAGGCAGAGAATATCTGATAGAGAATGCCATATGAGACGAGGAATCAGAGATAGGATCAAAACTGGATTTTTCAAGGACATAATTATGAGACTGGTCCAATAGGAGTGGGGAGGTAAGGTATGTTGGGAGGAATGGAGAAATGGCTGGAGGGTTAAAAAGGACCAAATAAGGAAGCCCTGGGATCCCAGAGAAGACACTTAAGTTTCTGCTTGAAATTCTTTAAGCCTTGGTATCCTTTCCTCCAGGAAGCCCTATCTGAAACTTCCAGGTTGAACTCTAGTGTCCTTCATCTCTGTTCCCATAGCACCTTGTATGCACTTCCATCATTGCATTTTCTGCTTTGTTCTGTAATTATCTGTTTATGTGCCTGTTTGTCCACTAGCAAGTAAACTCCACAATTGCAAGGCCATGCCTTAGTCGTATTTATACCTCTAGTCCCTGGCATGTAATAATCACTAAATATTTGTTTGTTG